ATATCGATCCAGCCCTAGTTGGAATAATAAAAGATGTAGGCATCTGTGCATGTAATTCCCCAACACCCATTACCATTACTTATTCTGAGATATTGTTTTTATGGGTCTGTGTTATCCATTGTGGAGTGTACGGCACTTCGAGCTCTAGAAATTGCAAATATGCGACATAAATAAACTTGACTTAATTCAACAAACGATGACCAGAACCTCATAATCGTATAATCGTGTGACAAACAAAAGGTTCTCTTATTTTGTACTGGTTTTGAAAATCCTCTCTATTTTTGACTTGCCAGCTCAGCCCTTGTTTCACGGCTTTAGCTGATTAGATAAACAGGACAAATATCTCCATGTGAGCAAAGTCCATAATCCTTTTATCTGTGACAAGCCTGAGTATCCAGATTACTCATTACATCATTACCTATAGAGAATAATGAGTATCCAGATTACTCATTACATCATTACCTATAGAGAATAATGAGTATCCAGATTACTCATTACATCATTACCTATAGAGAATAATGAGTATCCAGATTACTCATTACATCATTACCTATAGAGAATAATGAGTATCCAGATTACTCATTACATCATTACCTATAGAGAATAATGAGTATCCAGATTACTCATTACATCATTACCTATAGAGAATAATGAGTATCCAGATTACTCATTACATCATTACCTATAGAGAATAATGAGCCAGCGTTAAATAGAAATGCACTGAATAAAGAAATGTTAATGTGGTCATGCTTTCTATGGTTAAACACCAGGACTCCCAGAGCCGTCCTTTTGACTGCTCCCATTAAGGTCAATTGAATTCTGAAAAGTTAGTGAGTTTTGCCATTGCCATCGCCCATCGCCCATCGCCCATCGCCCATCGCCATCGCCATCGCCATCGCCCATCGCCCATCGCCATCGCCATCGCCATTGCCCATCGCCCATCGCCCATCGCCCATCGCCCATCGCCCATCGCCCATCGCCCATCGCCATCGCCATCGCCATCGCCATCGCCCATCGCCATCGCCATCGCCATTGCCCATCGCCCATCGCCCCATCGCCCATCGCCATCGCCATTGCCCATCGCCCATCGCCCATCGCCCATCGCCATCGCCATTGCCCATCGCCCATCGCCATCGCCCATCGCCATCGCCCATCGCCCATCGCCATCGCCATTGCCATTGCCCATCGCCCATCGCCCATTGCCCATCGCCATCGGCATTGCCCATCGCCATCGCCATTGCCATTGCCCATCGCCCATCGCCCATCGCCCATCGCCATTGCCCATCGCCCATCGCCCATCGCCATTGCCCATCGCCCATCGCCATTGCCCATCGCCCATCGCCCATCGCCATTGCCCATCGCCATCGCCACTGCCCATCGCCCATCGCCATTGCCCATCGGCCAGCGCCCATCGCCATTGCCCATCGCCATCGCCCATCGCCATTGCCCATCGCCATCGCCATCACCAACGCCCATCGCCATCGCCAACCGCCATCGCCATCGCCAACGCCCATCGCCAACGCCCATCGCCATCGCCATTGCCCATCGCCCAGCGCCCATCGCCATCGGCCATCGCCATCGCCATTGCCCATTGCCCATCGCCATCGCCCATTGCCATCGCCATCGCCATTGCCCATCGCCCATCGCCATCGCCATTGCCCATCGCCCATTGCCATCGCCCATCGCCATTGCCCATTGCCCATCGCCATCGCCATTGCCATTTCCCATCGCCCATCGCCCATCGCCCATCGCCATTGCCCATCGCCATCGCCATTGCCCATCGCCCATCGCCATTGCCATTGCCCATCGCCCATCGCCCATCGCCATTGCCCATTGCCATCGCCATTGCCCATCGCCCATCGCCATTGCCCATCGCCCATCGCCATTGCCCATCGCCATCGCCATTGCCCATCGCCCATCGCCATTGCCCATCGCCATTGCCCATCGCCATCGCCATTGCCCATCGCCCATCGCCATTGCCCATCGGCCAGCGCCCATCGCCCATCGCCATCGCCCATCGCCATCGCCATCGCCCATCGCCATCGCCATCACCCATCGCCATCACCCATCGCCATCGCCATCACCCATTGCCAACGCCCATCGCCATCGCCAACGCCCATCGCCATCGCCATCGCCATCGCCCATCGCCCATCGCCCATCGCCAGCGCCCAGCGCCATTCTTGCAAACGCATATTACTTGTTTGCCTTCAAAGCTATTGGTATTTTATTTGCATGAGTCAACCTTGTGGAAAATCCATAACTCATTTTGCAAGGTCTTTACAACACACAGAGCGCTCTCGCTGACATCCAAAACAGCTGTGTGTGTGTGTGTGTGTGTGTGTGTGTGTGTGTGTGTGTGTGTGTGTGTGTGTGTGGGGTGGCGGGGGGTAACGGCATGACCTCCAATGGGTGATCAGTGATAATAGGGCGATGGATTACCTGGTCCGTGTATATACAGCAAGTTTGTTTGTATTACACAGTTCACACTCAAGGCAACTCAAAGTGCTTCACAAAACAAGATAGAAACAAACACACAAGGCATTCCAATCATAAACCATCACAGAACATTAAAACAGGAAGAATGTGAGCACTAGAGCCAGTACTAGTTACCATGGCAACACACTGTTTACTCTCAGCCGGTAGCATTTAGCTTCTGCATTTCAAGCACGCTCAAGTTATATTCTCCAGCTTAGCATTCATTTTAAAGGGTAAAAGTAAATTCCTTGCTTCCTCTTCTTCTTTCTTTTATTAAATTGGGTAAAAAACTAACATTTTTGGGGGGAATTTGTGGGAATTCCATTAGTTTGAATGGGAGTAGTCAAAATGATGGCTCTGGGAGTTCTAGTAGTTTAAGAATTCTGAGCGTCTTAATGTTAAAAAGAGTATATAAAATCCCTCACTTGTACAGCACAGCTAAACAGAGCTGTTTTTAACTTTTGAACTTTGTCAGAGAAGAAGCCTGTCTCACATTAATGAGGAAGACTGTTCCAGATTTTGGCTGCTTGAATCTGAAATGCTGCCTCCCCATGTTCCCAGCAGGAGGCCAGTCCCTGTGCTCCTCATAGTCCCAGCAGGAGGCCAGTCCCTGTGCTCCTCAGAGTCCCAGCAGGAGGCCAGTCCCTGTGCTCCTCAGAGTCACAGCAGGAGGCCAGTCCCTGTGCTCCTCAGAGTCCCAGCAGGAGACCAGTCCCTGTGCTCCTCAGAGTCCCAGCAGGAGTCCAGTCCCTGTGCTCCTCAGAGTCCCAGCAGGAGGCCAGTCCCTGTGCTCCTCAGAGTCCCAGCAGGAGTCCAGTCCCTGTGCTCCTCAGAGTCCCAGCAGGAGGCCAGTCCCTGTGCTCCTCAGAGTCCCAGCAGGAGGCCAGTCCCTGTGCTCCTCAGAGTCCCAGCAGGAGGCCAGTCCCTGTGCTCCTCAGAGTCCCAGCAGGAGGCCAGTCCCTGTGCTCCTCAGAGTCCAGCAGGAGGCCAGTCCCTGTGCTCCTCAGAGTCCCAGCAGGAGGCCAGTCCCTGTGCTCCTCAGAGTCCCAGCAGGAGTCCAGTCCCTGTGCTCCTCAGAGTCCCAGCAGGAGGCCAGTCCCTGTGCTCCTCAGAGTCCCAGCAGGAGGCCAGTCCCTGTGCTCCTCAGAGTCCCAGCAGGAGGCTAGTCCCTGTGCTCCTCAGAGTTTGAGTTGGTTCCTAAAGGGCACCTTTGGTATATTCTTTTGTGTATACCTTTTCAGTTCACCGTCCAGGAGAATGTGTTTTAATTTGATTCTGTTTAAGTTTAGCCTTGTGTCTAAATGCTATGCACCTGTTTATAGCACAGGTCAAAAGAAACGCTTTGGGAATGATCAAAGACTGTCTGCTTCTTTCATCTAAGTTGTTGAACTGCACATGAACCCCCCACATGGCTCATGTTTACTGCCCAAAATGCACCAGTGTAATTCTATGCTCATCTTTATACCATTCTTCACTCCCTTGAAAAGAACAACCTGCACGCACCATCATGCTCATTGCTAAACCAAGGACACCAAAGTTTTTGACATTAGCATGCCAAGGCACATGGGTAATTTTCCGGTCAATGCCGTGGCTTTTCTCCCCTCGTATGTTGCCAGGAGGAAATGAAGGGATGATGTCTTTCACTGGTCTCTTCAGAAGGAAACAAACAGAACGCTTTACGCCATGAGCTTGTTGACCAACAGAGGAGGAGCAGCAGCAGGCGACTAACCCGACCCTAACCCTATTTACACTGATGCAACAGCATTTCCCCTCTGACATGTCCCGCCCCATTCCTACACCCGGAGGTACAGTATTTATGCAGCTTTCAGGTGTTGATGTAATTCAGATTCTAAGAGTCATCCACATTTTTGAAGGAGATCCAAAAGCACTGAGAGAATCTGTCTCTCTCTCTCTCAACAGATTCTACTCAATTCTACAAGAACACCTGGAACATGGACAGTTGAGTGCAGTGTCCTCACACACCTGCTCAGGCCCAGACACAGACAAAGCCTCTCTCTGTCCTGACGCTGTGTCTCTGTGAGTTTGGGCTAAATATGACAGTTAGGAAATACAGGGAGGAGCAAAGACCTTCCCACAGAGTCATCTGGTTCTAATGCCCATCTCGCTGGTGTGGATTACCAGCACATATTAGAGCAGAACTCCTGCTAACCTCACATTTATATCCTCAGGGGGAATGGGAGCTAGTGAAGGGGCTGAGGTCTGGGGTTCAGGGTAGAACAGGGGCCAACAGAAGCCTGTGTGCACACAGCTCACTCAGCAGACTGTATTCATTATTATGTCAAGAACACACAACAAGAAGCAGGTAACGTTCAAAGCAGCCTGTGCAAAGAATTAACTACATTTTCTGTGACTCATGATATCAATATTACAACAAGATCATAGAGCATAGATCTCAGAGAACATTTCAGAAGAGTGTTTTTCATCATAAAATATTGACCTGAAAATGTATCTAGAACACAACACCCAAAGTTTAGCAGCTGGATTAGTAGATGTGTGAGTTTGTCCTACCTGTAGTATCTGGACTGTAGGTAGGTGGAGCACACAGCTTTGGATACGTGGCTGGCTGAACCGAAGTCGATGACCTTGACCCTGTACGGCTGTCTGGACGGATCCACCAGCATGATGTTCTCTGGCTTCAGGTCCGCGTGGATCAGGCCCAGACTCTTGAGTTTCATGAGCGCTGTGGCCACCTGCTGCAGCACAGGTCTGATGTACTTGAGCGGGAGAGGGCTGAACTTGTTCTGTTTGAGGAAATCGTACAGATTCTGCTCCAGCATCTCAAAAACCAGGCACGTGTGGTTCTTGTGCTGGAAGCACTCGTAGGCCCTCACAAAGTTGTAGTCGTCTGCGCTCTCTGTGCTCAGACGTGCCAGGATGCTGACCTCGATCTGACCCTGCCGTGCGTATGATGGGTGGTTCTTCAAGATTTTGATTGCAACAATCTCATTGGTGCCCCTCTTCCAACACTTGACCACCTGTCCGAACGTACCTCGGCCCAGGAACTCCAACACCTCGTATGTGTTGGTCATTGAGCAGAGCACCTCGTGCTGCACCAGCTGATAGTCCCCCTCGTTGTTGGAGCCACTGTTCTTGGAGGTGGCTGTGGAGGTGGCAGTGGCGGCTGTGGCTACTGTGGCCCCACTGGCCGCTCCGTTATGGATCATGGGTGGGCCGTGCTCCTCGATGATCTGCACGCTGCTGTTGTTGTCAAGCTCCTCGCTCTTGCGCTTAAGCCCACATCTCTGGTAGGTGTCTAAGAGACTGACAGTGCTGCGCCGCGTCAGGTTGTGGAGCGCGCTGCCACCTCCAGTGCTGCTGTTGCTGCTGCTACCTCCACCGCCACTGCCCAAGAGAGAGCCCACTGCTCCAGAAGTGCTGCTGGCTGAGGCCACGACAATGTGGCCCACGCTGGCAGGAAAGATGAGCGCCTGTTCGTAGGGCAGCGTGGAGCTGTTGATTCCCAGGGGCCCGCTGGCGGCCGACACGTTCTTACTGCTGTTGTGGCTGTAGACTTTGTTGTGCGTGCCGTACCCGGTCATATCCCAGTTACAACTTTGCTCCACCTTCAGTTTCTTTACGCTAAAGAAGGCACTTGACTGGAGAGTGTGGGGGGAGAAGACTTGCACTTGCGAGGCCATACCTGTGAAAGGGGGAGAGGGGAGGGGTGAGGGACAGAAATGAAAGTGAGAGGTTAGGAATCTGAGAGTGTCTGAAACACGAGCGACAAGCTTTAAATAAAAGCAGCTTGGGTCATTAACCTCTTGAACTCTATAACTTTACAGTAAAATAAGAATCAATAAAGCGTCATGAAATGTTAAACATTTCCACTGATTATAATAAATGAAGTGAATGTACGGTTTGATATTTTTCTGAAAGATGATGATTTCCAGACTGAGCAGTGCATATGTTGATAGTCCTCATGCACAGGAAATGCCATTTCCTTACTGTTCCCATTTGCACGGATACAGATTCACTGGATGCTCCACAGAGACAGCAGGAAGGCACTGAGAGAAGAAGTCTAAAAAATCTATTTCATTTGATCCTTTTCCTTTCCATACAGTGGCCTTACATTTACTGGCAGGGAACCTAATTACCCATTTCAGAGAAGAAGACTTTTCTTTCAAAAATCACTCGAGTAACAGCAAAGGAGCAGTGAACTCCCTCTCAACCACAAATCCCGACGACAACAAAACAAAGCAAAACTGCAGCACGGCTGTGTCGAACTCCTGGGAACAGACTGCAACAGCTTCTCTGAGCAAACAACGGCCCAAAATAGTCCCCTTTATCTTGCTCTTTGCAAACACACTTGTTTATAGCATTGAAATGATTATTACAGTACAAAGCAGATTATAGAGACTTGTGCTAATTGTATGTTTAAACACTTTTCAGTCAAGCCAAAATGGTTCACTCCTGACACACTAAGAGCTGCCACCTGGTTTCTGTGATGCCCACACACACTATCAGCCTCAGTGATCACTGACTATAGGTGTAATATAAAGGTGCATGAGTCACTTTTGTGGTTTGCCATCTGCGCGTCTCCCTGGAGATGGTTGTGCTTTGCATGAAACGTTATATTAAAAATGGAGAACCAAACTGTTTTGGTTTCATAAATACATTTTGTAAGTCCTAACAGAAAGAGTCTTGACATTTTGAGAACAAATCAGACTTATTAGGAAACATATATTTAATATACTGAGAGCTGAGTGGCTGTGATGCTATTCTCTCTCATTCACTGGAAAAGCTGATGCAAAGATGTGACAGAGGCCGGAAATACACATGAAAGCTACTGCTAGGACTCGACTGTTTTAAGTTACATAGATTTTATTACATAGTTGTTATTTGTGGTTTCAAAGTCCAGCTTTAGTGTCCAATTTACAGGTCAGATCAGTGGACAGGTGCCTCCTGCTCACTTGAAGCTTGTATGTTATCAAGGTATGAATACCATTCAGCAGGATGTAGTTTAGTAGTAGGACACATGTTTTAAGTTATCATTTAAATATGATTCAGAGGAACTTCAGACAAAGACACACTTGGGTTTTTACAAATTGTCACTTCTGGCTGTGACAATTTCACAATTTCTCCTTCTAATCTATGGATGTCAAAATACGAGGTTTGCCAAAATATAAATACAAGACCGTTTCCCGTTCAGGACGAGTAGGACTTCCATAATTGTGAGCAGTGTTGTGTGAATAGAAAGCCTGAGAGGGAGGAGACAAGCCTGGTCACTTTGTCATTATTAGCCCTTCGAGGAGTGATGATGATTAATTCACTAGGAGGCTGGCAGCCTTCCACAAGACTCCGCTTGGTTTGTTTTTAACACCCTTGACCTCCTCTAGTCTTTCCGCTTTAGCATTTATTTTCACCCTGCATGCTTCTCTTCATCTCTGGTTCATCTAACCCCAAAATGCAAAACCTTGAGTGTACTTGCAGACCAGATTTCCTTGCAGCTTGCATGCTTCTTCTCCCAGCACAATTTCTGTTTTACATTTAACATGCTAATTCTAATGTAGCCTCAAGACTGGACGTTTGTGTGCGGTAATGAAGAACGTCCGCTATAGGCTATTAGGGGCAAGGCTCTCGGCTAATCACATAAGCCCTCAAGGCCAGATGTCACTGCTTGGATTACCAATTCCTGTGCCTGGACTTTACGCTAAAAATAATTTGAATGATGGATTTCGTCACGGAGCTGCGTCAACAGTGTATGAGTGAGGCCGGCGGGATAATGATGGATGTCGAGATGGACGGACAGAAATACAGCCTGTCTGCTCGTTGTAAGTCTGTACATATCTGCCAGAATAATTATGGATAACACAGGGTCTTTACAAGGCCTGGCTCTGCGCATTAGCTTCATCCAATCAGACATGTTTCTGCTCATATCCAAATAAATATGCACATGAATTACTATTTTTCTTTTTCTTTTAGACTTAGACTTTATTGGTCCACAAGGGAAATTGTGTTTTCACAGTAGCTTGTATAATATTTCACAATAAGAATATTAATAACGTAAAAATCTGAAAATAATAATAATAATAATAATGAGATAATATTATGAGAATAGAATAATGTGGATATAGGTACTCAAAATGTACATATCTGTGAATATGTACACATTTACAGTATAACATACAGAGATAATAGGATACTACACATCTGTATGTTATTATAGTTTAATATCTTTGAGATTATTGTCCAAAGTGGAAGCAGGAGTTTACATAATTAGATAAATGTGGGCGATGCAGGTTCCTGTACTGTCCATGTGGGTAAAGAAACGTATTATTACTTGTCATTTTGAGTCCAAGTTTTAGTAGTATTCAAGAAAATATGTGAGCTGGAGGTTCCTATACTGCCCATATTAGTAAGTAGTGAGGTAAAAACTATACGGAAGAAATTACCTTCAAAATTACTGTTCTGATTTTAGGTTGGGTCTTGATTATAATGGTTAATATACAAATATCTTTCTGTGAGCATTTTCTCCCTGTGTCTTTGTAGGTTTCCTCTGGGTGCATGTTGTGGTATGATTTGTTCACAGCATGTTACTTATACACAACTCTTTCTGTAACAATAGCAGAAAATGCTAAGTACCCCATCTTTAATACACAATTATGCTTCAAACCAAGTGCAACAGTAATAAATAA